GCGTGGGCGCCTCGCGTTTCGGCCGCGCCGCTGGGCGGTGCGCGGCCCTGGGGACAGCTCGGCCTTGACCCCGGCGCGTTGTGCAAGAGCAACGGGGTTTTATCACAGCGGGAGGACTCTAGCATGGGCTGGGCTTAGGTGGCCCATGCAAGTGTGCCACCCTGGCTTACACCAGCCTGAGTACTTTGTGCCCTGCTGCCACCCAGGGTGCCACGAGCCCCGGGACCTGGCAATGGGGAAGGGGAGTATCAGGGACACAGGGAGAGCCGCATAGTGCAAATGCAGGGGAAATGCACGCAGTGTAGCCACCATGTGCCCCTGGGGATGATATGGAGCACAAATGATATTAGGAGAAAGAATAATTATTCAACACCCAGAATAAGGAATGTATGAGGAACACTAGTGGTGGTTCAGCTGCTGGGTGGAAAGTCCTACTGAGCATTGGGAGCTGGTGATCAAGGAGCGTTTGAGCTAGCAAAGAGCCTTGGGCAGGCTGGGCTCCCTGACTGAGGCAGGCGAAGGCAGCCCCAGCGAGGGGAGGAAAACCGGACCGTTTTATCTGGATGCACATGTGTAACAGTGGCGCTTGGCTGCCGCTGCGGGGTCTGTGCCGAGGGACGCTCCGAAGCACGTCGGGTTTCTCCGTGCTGCCGGGTTGGACCTGCGTGGGCGAGCAGGGTGTTGGCTCCCAGGTTGATGCCCTGCGGCGCGCGGCCCTGGCCCAGCTGGTTTCCCAGTTTTGCAATTGCAGAGGGTCTCGCCAGGAGTCGGACTCGTCATCTGGGGCGCTCTGGCCACGTCCCAGCTTGTTCCCGTGCTGCTGTTGGGGCCCGAGCCCCAGGCAAGGTGGCTGCTCAGGCTCGGTGCACCCCGGTAAAGCTCACGGGGTGGCCTGAGGCCAAGACCTGCAAGGGGAGGATGGAGATGCCTCATCCCGTCATAAGGGCCAGGGGCTTTTTGGGCTCCTCTGCCTTCAGGAGGGGGGAATTGTAATCCTGACCCTGGAAGGAAGTGTCCCCGTCACCTCCCAGTGCCCCATGTAGCTAGTTCTAGAAGAAGCCTAGAAACGGCCTTTTCACAGCCTTGTTCCCGCTTGTCACAGAAGGAGCTGCGGCCTCGCCTGTGCCACATGAAGAAGGGCCCCAACGGCTACGGCTTCAACCTGCACAGCGACAAGACCCGTCCGGGCCAGTACGTGCGGGCCGTGGACCCCGACTCGCCGGGGGAAGCGGCGGGTCTGGTGACCACGGGCACAGA